GAGTGAGCTTGTATGGTTGAAGTCATTATTGACTTCATTTTTGGTGGATCACAGACAGCCGATGGAGCTATTTTGTGATAATCAGTCGGCTATTCACATAGCAGCCAATCCAGTCTTTCATGAGCAGATGAAGCATATTGAGATAGATTATCATTTTGTTCGTGAGCAAGTGCAGACTAGAAACATCATTATGGCGCGCATCCGTTCACAATTTTAACCAGCAGACATTTTCACGAAGGCACTTGCTAGACCACAGTTTCATTTCCTGTTAGGCAAGTTGGGCATTCACGATGTGTATGCGCCAACTTGAGGGGAGTGTTGATGATATGATATTTTAGTTAGTTGGTTACTTATTAGATAGAAGATAATTATGCAGTTAAGATAATTGGTTATCTTGTTAGCTAGCAGTATAAGTTGTAATTCTTTGTATTGTTTCTTTATCAAGGAAAATAGCTCTCTCCAAATTTCTCCTTAGATTTCTATATGTCTAACTAACAAAAGTTTTTTCCTTTTTTAGATACCAACCAAACACACAAAAAAGTGTGTACATTGGTTTCCCACCATGTTTTGTGTGTGAACCAAACCCAAATAATCTATTTCTTAAAAAAGTTTGGAAAATCCAAAACTTGAGTTATTTACAAAGAATGGTGTTTCCCAATAAATGCAAAATGAACCAAATAGCCCCTTAAAGTAAAACCACATAATTTCTGATCCAGCGAGAGATTATATTACACAACATACAGTGAGCTAAAGAACAAAAAAAACATGAAATTAAATGTAATACACAACATGTAGTTAGACATGAAACCAAGCATCATAAAAAAATTCATTTTCACAAAGAAAATAAAATGGGGAAATAAGGCTAAGAATTTACCTCTAAAGCAAAGCAAGAATCGAATCACAAAAGAAATTATTCAATCTAGGGTTTCAGTAAGCACATAAGCAAAGGAAGAATTTAACTATAGGGGTTTTCACTCGAAACCCCCATTTGTGGAAACCATAATCTGAAGAGTGAAGCCTCCGACAATCACAACAACAACAACCAAGATCACAACAATATCAACCAATATCGAAGCCATTTTGGCTCGAAAACCTCATTTTTCCTGAATTTGTAGTAGGGATTTTTCATTATGGAGGCAAAAGAAAATAGAGGGCGGGGTAAGATGGAGGGTAACAACCCTAGCCTTTTCCACCTTTCGTTGAAGCCAAAAACCCAAAAAGAAGAGCGGAGTTTTTTAATCTGGTAAATGATATTTTCAGCCAATTTCGGGGTTTTGTGAGTGGAAAACATGTTTCTGCTAGAGATGAGTTGTAGCGCGATTGCAGCCTAATATTTCCTCT